AACACCACCATCATACAAAATATCCACACATATGCACACAGAAAGGAAAAGCCATTCAAGGGGGGGGGGGGGGGGGGGGGGGCGGGGACAGCATAGCCTGTTGTGGTGTCCTTTATCATCTATAGTTCTTCCCCTAATGACCAACATTGGTAGCACAAGTTACAATATTTTTTTAGGGGGTTTAAGGAATTCAGTACTACTGATGATGACATAGTTTGAGCTCAACTGAATATGCCTGATTCACGATATGGAAATCAGTTTTGTGGGGACTATGTGAAAATGTCCAAGCATGACAGATGTCTGAGCTGCCTGCGTTCAGTAATCAAGCATTCGCGTGTTAACCAGCATAAAGGCAGCAATTTCATAATTTACCTAATAATGTATTCAGTGTTTTGCATGATAAAATGATTAAAAGATGTTCACATGAGGACCAATTATTCATGCTTATGTCTTACTACAAAAAAATGAACAATGTTTCTACGGTGTGGTTAAGAATACTGTGAAAGCATTTGTGCTACAATTACCTCTGATGCGGTTAAACGGAAACAGAAAATATGCTGTAGAAATTGCTTGATATGCACATAGGCATTAAAGAGACACTAAAGTATAGTGCTGGGCGGTATACCGGTTCATACCGAATACTGGTGTTTATTTTTGTTATGATATGAATTTTTTCAATACCGGTGTATGTCACTTAAACAACGTTCGGAACGCGACACTGTTTGAAAGGGGTCCCTTTTCACTGTTGCACTGTATGTGTTACGAAGCGTGAAAGTTCTGAAACTGAAGCTGTAGAACTAAGAGAACGTGATGACGCAAAAGAACTCATCCACAATATCCATGTTGACCGCCACAAATATCCACCGCCCGTGTTGTTTTTTGTTTGTTACTCAGACACAGGCAGTGCCCTGCATGAGACAAAAAAGTAATATAGCCAAAACAACCGCATAGCCGCTCTTTAGAGTAGATGCATGTTGATTTTATCAGACGATGCCGCGATTATAAATGAGAGTGACTCCTGGTTAACATTAAAAGGGGTCGTGTTTAGTCACTATTTAGTGTGGTATTTTTTGACAATATTCACTTATCATGACAGTAAAATAGGGCATTCTAAGTTTATATACTGCAGTATTTCCTCTCTCAATCAGTAGAAAATATGGTTAACACCCGGTCATACATGAAAAAAAAAATACCGTCATATACCATGAAACCGGTATAATTTTGAAAAATACCGTGATATAAATGTTTGGTCATACCGCCCAGCACTACACTAAAGGTTAAACTTGGGGGCTCTTCAAGCAGTTAGAGCATGAATGGTGGTCTGTCTTTTTAACCCATATGTTTGTGTGAATGCATGAGTGGTGGTCTTTATAAGGGATACAGCTGCTCTCTCCTCAGTAAGATGACACCAGTACTTCAGCATTGAGGTAACCACAGTGTTCTCTAGACCTTGTTTGGACAGCAAAATCTAGTCCAGAAACCTTCTACCTTCCAAGTCAGTCTTGCAAATGCATGCCGTCTGAAGGACACATGATCTTGAATGAGGTCTTATCTAAAAGACTAAACTTAATAACTGTCATTAATAATCATTATTACATTAAATAAAAGTTATTACATTAAATAAAAATATTTGAAGAGTTGTCACGAAACGTCATAACATTTTTATTCAGTGATGCACTCATATCACAATTCTAGCAAATGTAATATCGGCTTGGTACCTATTATTATTCATATACATGTATAAATTAACTTAAATATATAAATATATATAAAAGCACATTACTTATTTATTGACTGATTTATTTATTTTCACATATATTTATTTACATGGTACACATAAATTTAGGCAAAAATACAAAATATAAAAAATTTACATATAATGAAATTATATGTATATAAAAAGTAATATTTAATATGTGCAATATATATAGTGTGTAGTGTGCGTAGTTTGTACACACCCACACACACACACACACACACACACATTCACACAACTGACTTGTTAACCAGAGAGTAATAAAACATTTGACATTTAAACATCTATTGATTAAAAAAAATGGTACAAACATCAGCTTCCTCTCAAGTCTGAGATACCAAAGCACAATTTGAAAAACCTAAACATGCCTGCTAGAGCTAACACTTCAAAAGTTCATTTTAAAAACATGCAACTCTGATTGCTTGTCAAAACCCCTGCCAGTCTCGTCTCATCTCCAGCAGAAAAAGGTTGCCCTCATCTTCAGTGGTCTCTTTTCACAGTGCTCATTACCTTAATTGATGTTTAACCCCTAGATCAGCTGATGACGGCTCAATTAAGAGCTTGCTGGAGGAGAGATTAACATGGGGAAGGAGGGCTGTGCCCTCTCGGAGGAGCTTCCGCCCTTCAGCGTGCCCTACTCCACCAACCGCACAGCCAGTAAGGACACTGAGGCCATTTTGAATTGGAAAGGGCAGGGAAGGCTCCTCCCTATAAAACATAATTTAATCAGCAGTGCTATGACCTTAAAGTAGATTTGTTTCCAATCAGGTGTTGGCCAATTTCAGATGCCACTGATCAAGGACAAAATGATTGTTGAGTGCAGAAAGTGTTTTTGTAATAACTGTCACCATTTACACTCCTTCATGTCGTTCCAAACTTGTATGATGTTCATAACACCAAAGACGATACATTTGATGTGCCAGTGTTGTGTTTTTTTTCCATACAGTTAAAGTCAATGGGGTCCAGTGTTGTTATTGTATCTTCATTTGTATTCCACAAAAGAAAGAAAATCATAAAGGTTTGGAACAACATGAGGGGGAGTAAATGACAGAATTTTATGTGAGCTATTCCTTTAACCTCACCAGTATTTGACAAAAAAAAAAACGTGGATCACAGCTAGATGTCTGGGTAAAGTCCACAGCAAGCATTTTTGTCAAACACTTTCAGGGAGACACTAAATGCCAGAGACATTGTGGAAATGACATCGAAAAATGGATTAAACATGTGACCAGAGGAATTTCACAAATTTCACAATAAGAACAAAGTGAAGACCTGCTTTACAAGCAGCAGAGGACCTCTGACACATGTGAGAGCACATGTAATAAAATACACACATCAAATACAAGACTGCCAGATAGACATCTAATAAAAACAGTGGTAGCATGGTCATAAATTTGTTTATGTGGAAAACCAGATAAGAAACCCAGGATGAACAGTCATTATTTTGACTTCATGGTGATGAAAACATCACTATAGATGATCAGAGACACAACACTACCTTTGTTCTGTCATGTTTTGCATCATCCTGACCTGCTTAAATGGGTTTCATGTTCCATCACAACAAAAACGTTTTCTGAACTGCATCCGCTTAATCATTTCCATGCAACAAACTTCCCATTAGCAAACAGCGCTTTTTCACAAAACGACCGTGATTGTTCGCTGGATGCTTGTTATTTTTCTGAAAACTTTTTTGAAGCATTTCTAAACAGCAGTGGTAGGTTTGTAACGCGTGAAATAATCTTTTCTCTCTGACTGTTATTGGTACCCCAGGTGGGAGGACATAACAGCATTGAGTCTCTGGAGGTTGAGCTGACACCCTGCTGGGAATCACGACAGCACAGTACCTGTCTGCATGACCTAGACATTCAGCTCATTATGAGACAGCCTATAATGAGAGCTGGAATTCTGAAGCCACCAATCAAATGCTTTGTACACACACACACTACACAGCAAAGCATCTAGGACAGACACGCTTCACACTTACAATTCGGCCTGTGGAAACTTCAAACTAACATATTTATGAGAGACTGAAGTTACACTTTTACAACTTGTTAAAATGACATTTCTTCTCTGAATGCCTTAGGACAGGGGTTTTCAAACTGGGCTCCGGGGACCTCCAGGAGGCCAGATAGGAATGTTTCAATGACCAAAAAAATGCAATAAATTATTATTATTGTTGTTATATGTACCAAAATTGCCATTATATGACATTATATCATAAGCTCAATCATGAATATTTCATTATTGATTCCTATTAATGACACAATTTTAATTTTATAGAAAAAAATAAAACTATGCACAGGAAATATTTGTATAATAATACTGAATCATTTCTTTTGGCTTTAGCACACTGATAAAATTATTATTATAATAAAAAGCAATTATTTTGTTTGACAAATTATTTAATTTAACAGTTACTTGTATTCATAATATCATAATTATTCTTTTTATTTATATCTCAGGAAGAGGGTTTGTTTGCAAGGGGGGGTCATCATATTTGGGTGTCCTTGGCATCAAAAGTTTACTTTAGAGCCAGCAAATGTTCACAAATACACTTTTTAAGAGTCCGAATACACCAAAAACACATGTTGTTATTGTATAACAGAAAGAGAGAGGGTGGTGTCGCAGAACTGCGTAGGTTAAACCAAACTTTTGTTTAGAGTCCGAGAGCAGGATCAACCAAACTTGATTTGTAAGTGGCTTGCGTGCTATAAAATGTAGACTACTCCACACAAACACCCCTCAAAATACACAGAATCAGTAATTAACACATAACATGTTATACCTCATAACACATGCTATCCTGTAGCGCACTACGCAGTGAGCCGAAATGTGTGTGACTGCATCAAAATCATGTTGACATTTCAGACAGCGACTAAATCTGACAGCTCGTCAGAAGCACAACAATGAACAGCGTTCGGCCCAGTAAGTCACGATTTATAATAACACACTAACTTTAAGGTATATAATTGTTTAAAAACTACCGTAATTGTCATGGGTTATATCTTATGCCCTTGTCACCAATTGGTTATTAAAAGCCTTGTCTGAACCTCCGTATCTCACTAGCTTCGATTTCAGTCGCGACTCTTCCCCCTTTGATGCAATAAAAAGACGCATACAACAAATAACCAGTGTATGTTTGCCCATTGACGCGAACGAGCCTTAATTTTGATATTTTTTAAAAATAAATTCAGAGGTGACGGCAATAATTCGGCACTTCAGCTAGACTGGACGAACGACTTACCCGGAGCAGCTACAAGATCCACATCTGTGCGATAAACACCAGGTTTCTTACGGCCCAATACGTGAAAGAAGTGTAATGTAGATCAAACCAGGCAAGAATATAAAAAACACCGAGAAGATATCAATAATAATATGTGAAATCCTTAACTCCTGTTCAGGGTTATTATTTAGCCAGTACAATCAAAAACCTCCATGTACAAAGTGTCCTATCCACCATGACTGGCAATGCATTATGATTGACAGATAATGTGGCCAATCAGAGATGAGCTTTGCGTGTTTCGTCCAATCGGGTTAAAGTATGGTGGTGGAAGCAGAATTGTGGGCGGGGCTAATGTGCAATAGGAAGAGATCACGCTGAAGCGGTTTATGTATTCATCCGCCTCCCCATCTTTAATGAAAAGATCCTGTAAAATTCCTCTCCGTGTTTACATGTGAGAACTGGAATGTAATAATTACACGTAATTGCATTATATATTTGAAATACTTTTAATATATACATGTCCTGAAAATAACCTTCAAGCATGGTGTTGTATTGTACTGGTGCGCTATAATAAAAACGTTTTATTATTTATCATATCAGATGTGCACGGTTCAGTAGGATACGTCAGCAAGTACATTTTTTCAAAGCACATAATACGTCAATCAATCATAAGTAGAATTGCATTCATGTATTTTATTCGTAACTCGCTTAACCACGAGGAAATATTAAAGTATAAAGAACAGCCTATTTTGGTCAAAATATGAGATACAGTATTTGACCTGGTTGATTTAGTGGTTCCAGGAGAGAGACATTTTTGCTCAATCCAATAAAAGCATGGAAAGCCCTACTTTTCGTGGAGGAATATAGTGTTTACAGAGGGAATGGTGGTGATGCAGACAGAGAAAAATGAAAATGTCAGAGTGCAGTAAGTTTGAAGGCAGCTGAAACGGAAACAGTTTAACTGATCAATCTGGAAATCCGCGCCACGGGTTTTGAAATAACACGAGAACAAAAAAACAAGGCTGAAGTCTTATTCAAAGGATTGAATAATGAGAATGCACTTGCAACATATACTCGGATCAGAGCTGCGTGCGTCACTGCGATGGAGGACCACTTAAAGTCACAGAACTCATATGATGCGATTTCAAGTTTTCCTTTCTCTTTGGAGTGTTACAAGCTGATTGTGCATAGATAAGATCCCTGAAGTTGCAAAGACTAAAGTCTCAAAACCAAAGAGATATTCTTTATCAAAGTTAAGACTCTGCCACGCCCCCAGCGCTTGCGGTGTTCAGCCAATCACAATGCACTGGGTCAGCTGGCCAATCAGAGCAGACTGCACTTGTCGGAAGGAGGGACTTTGTAGAAAACTAAGCGTTTGAGAGAGGCGGGGCATAGAGGACCTACAATAATGTACAGTATTTAAAAAATAATGTGTTTTTTGAACATTAAAGCATGTCAACAAATTCGGTTACACCAAATACACAAAATAATGATCTTTAAAAAAGCATCATATGACCCCTTTAAGTCTGCGTTTTATTTGAGATGCAATACATGCAACCAAAATACTCTTGAGGAGATTATCACATAAATCATCGCGCAATGTGTAAACTGTCTTTATTGAAGTTTACTTTCATTTTAGTTGTTTTTGAATTTAGTCAAAAGCAGCTGTTTCATATTTAATTATAATATTTTTATTATAAATATTTTTCTTTATATTTAATTAATACTTTTCACTCAGATGAGTTGCAAACCTCATCAATAACTGAAAAACAATGTGTTGCTTTTAACTAAATTATAAAGAAAAAAACATTGATTTACTTAAAAGACGCAACAGGAATATAGCCCATTGCATATAGGCCTACCTGTGGAGGAGAGAGATTACTCTGTTTTATTCCTTATGTAAGGAGCTTATGCACTGGGGTTTTGTGGAAGAGCATTTATACAAACAGATGGACACCCTGTTGCCCTCTCTCAGATCACTCGCTTCCTACACTCAGCCTGCGCACTCAACAGAATGCCATTCAGCCACGAAACCTTCACTGCAGGCAAAAACAATCATGAAAGTGGGGCTGCAATGACAGAGATGATTCAGACAAGCCCTCTGATCTTGGAGCAGTTATTGACCGACCACAGTGGGCAGTTATGAGCGAGGAAAAAAATGTCATGTTACATCTTATTCATCTTTGGTGTGCACTGTGCATAACAAAACGTTATGCTGTGCATTGTGATTCTGGATCGGTGTGTACTGTATAAAAGGTGTAAAACTTTAAATTAGTTTAATATTCAGCACAGGTGATGTTTCATTGTTTAATAGTCATCATGAAGCTGCAGTACCTGCGTGCTCAAACACGTGTTTCAAAACAGCTGCTTTCAGTGCTGAGAAGAGCTGGAAATGACACTTTACAGATGGATTCTCTTCTCATTTCCTTCTCTTTTTTCCCCCCTCTCTCACTCTTTCTTTGACACACAGATGCACGTGCAGATGCACACTTGCTTCTTTCTCTCCATGCTTCGCTCTCTATCTGCCTCATTCTCTCTTTTCCTTTATTTCTGAATTTATTAATCCAGATGAAAGGTGTGTGGGTGAAAATTTTCCTCTCTGCAGTGACCCGCTGATCTGCTGCACTTGGCTTCTGTAGCATCCTGTCTGCTGCCTAGCAACTCTCTGTATCTATAGCAACAAAGCCAACAAACCCTCCTGCCTCTATCAAACGTACCCCCACAATGAGCTGCTATAAGTATGGCAATCAGGAACAGGCAAGAATTCAGTATGTGGAAAAGCTTAGAAAATACTATTATAAAAAACAGTCTCTCACGGTCAAATCGCTACTGTAAAGAAATGCAGCATCATGTATGACGAGGCTGTGTTATGTAATGCAATGCATCTACCATATAAATAAATCTCAATATTTGCATTTGCATCAGTTAATATTTTCTCAGCAACAGTATTTACCCCATATTTGGTTGCTGTTTTAGGTATGATTTGAAAGATATAATTTTGACAGCATGCTAATTAATGCATTGTATTAATATGATTATCAAGACATTCTGTTGCTCTTTAGACTTAACAGAAAATGAACATTGTCCGCACAGAGTATAATCTCTGTAAATTTTAATTTACAGTATAGTTAGTATTTGTCTTTTTATAGCCTAATTACTGTATGTTTTACTTTACAGTATAGTAAGTATTTGATTTTTAAAATCACTGTAAGTTTCGTGATAATCTGTGGCGTCGTGGAGAAGCTTGCACTGTATCTATCCAAAGTTTAACCTGCAGATTTGAATGGTTCTCGTGAGTGTGGTTTTTGAATGGGGACGTTGCGCCCTCTAGTGGCCACACTGGGACATGGCCAGTGAAAGAGCCAGGACTAGTTTTCCAAACGCATAGTAAGCTTAAGTGGGTCGTAGTAACAACATTCGTACAAATCATCTAAAATAAAATATTACTTGATAATAGTCGAAGATCTACAAATGTTCTGGAATGAAGTGATACTTAAACGGTATTCACTGTGCAATGGGATAGTTACTGTATTTACTATTATTTTTATAACATAATATAATAATAATATTAAGTAAATCATAAAAGGGTGTTTTATTTATAAAATAAAAATGAAGGCTGCATAATTTTTTTCTTTATTTTTCCACAGAAGTAACTGCAAGAAGTATTTTTTACAGTATAGGACATTTTAGCATGAAATATTTCATACTAATAGTGTTAAGAATTTGTGTGTGTGTGTGTGATTAAAAAATGCAATGTAAAACAAAATAAATTAACAATAGCTTGATTACTGCCAGAAGTAAAAGTCAGAGAAGAGTTTAAATCACATTTTATACAATGAGAAGGATAAAAACTTAAAGTCTCCCAGTGTATCGGATTACACTGATAAATTGCAGGTGCTGGCAAGTCAAGGGCCTTTAGGTGGTTGCAAAAAATTAAAATTAAAATTCTTCCCTTGGTAATAATTCATTAGAGTTGTATTTGCTTAGGTGGTTTGCTGCAACTGGGCCTGAAGAGCCTGTAAACTGTTATTCATTCTAATGGGGATAAAATATTACAAATTCAAATTTGATTTTGAAATAACAGTAATAATATTGCAATATAGGGCACATGAAGAAAGCAATGGACAAATCAATTTACAACCTTTTAATATTGTTCTCATTCAAGAAATGTTCATTTCACTACATACTGCCCTCTATGGTATTCTATATCACAGTTCAATAAAATAAATAGAACTTCAAGCTAACCATGTGCCTGTATTTTAGAGCAACATTATTATTATTATTATTGCATATATATTACCTTGAAAGAACTATTTAAGATACTGAAAAACCAATGTGAAGATTTGTAAAGTCATAGCATCCATGGAAAATCAGCTGGTTTTGAAAGAGTGCACGAACCCTACATGACCACCAGATGGCATTCAAGCCTTAATCATTATGCTTTGGAAAGAGAGCTACAGGCCCCAAATTTGCAGAGCCTCACATATAGATTTAGTTTTGAGGAACCCATTTTATTATTAATTTATTCATAATTTATTTTTATTTTTTATCAATAGCCACTGATACATAATCATGATATTGATTAGTCTACCATATCAACCCTTGTGTTATGGATATGTCACAGTAAAAGATATACAGATACATGGAACTGAGTTTGATATACAAGATATACAGATAAATGCAACTCTCTTTAAAATGATCAACAATAGGGGAGAAGTGTCAGTAGCCTATGGTTTCCTTAATTTCATTTTATTTATATAATATAATGTCACCATAAATGTGATCTTCACTTGTCATGTAGGCAAGTGAAAACTTTATAACAAGTCTATTAAGTCATAGTGATGGGGGTGGAGGACCGGGGAAGTAATCTGCTGGTTTCTGTGAATAAAAGAAGAAACATCTCAAAGCTGTTTGACTAATCTCTGCTTCTCTTGCTCGGCTATTGTGTGGGCCCAGGCCAGCAGCGGCATGGGAAGGGGGGTTTGTTGCCCCCTCCGACTGAAATTTAGCGTGTGAACAGTCAGCTTGTTCCTGGGCCAACAGAGTCCCTTCTTTCTTCTTTAAGAGGACCGCCTGCGCGTGGAATCTAGAACCCTCTCTCAGTCTTAATTTATGCGCATATTAATTATGCTGCATTGTAATTTCTACCGTGGGATAGAGCATACAAATGAGCAGTTTATGTTTTATGTAGGCTACAATCTCCCTCAGGAGGGTGAAATTTAAACCAGCACCCAGGCCTGTTCTCATG